ATTCTGAATATTACTTATATCTAAAAGCTGCAGCTCCAAGCCACGAGAGTGTTTGTTATAGGCGAAACTTCGGCTTAGAGATGTCAAAATGGGTAAATAAATGTCTGCGCTTCCTGCGGTCGCATGGAGCTCCAGATCACCCCAGACTACCTAATCAATGTCCATGCAGAGCCTAGTATTGTTATCTCTCATATTAGCAGAGGTCGGTCCAGAGAGAAAGATTTGCTATGTTCTCAGCCGGCGGGGAGCGTTTACTCGTGCGCCAAGAAGCCAGCGCACCCTCCTCGTAAAAGTCCATATGTACACACTGCTGGATTGAGCAGTTTACTAAATCGCTCTAGGCAACACGGTAGTTGAGTCCCGAGGTTGTTAGCAAAACCCGTGTCCACCTAAAGCAGGGCCTCCCCGCGCAGGTGCGTACAGGCGCGCCGCACCCAGCACCCTGGGGTTCCTCCGAAGCCGGTCAGGCCCCGGCCTTGGTCCATTGGGAGGGATGGAGGAAGAAGTCACCATCAGCCAGAGTCCCTCACCAGGTTTCGGCCACCTCCACCGGTGTGAATAGACGCGTCTTTCTTTTCCTCTCGGACCGAGTGGGTGACAAGGTCTGAGAAACCTGGGACCAGTCAGTCCCATAGTCTTCTAGCGCCTCGATCTCTGAGGGTGACGCCGAGCTGTACAAGTCGGAGGGGAAGGAAGAACTCCAAGAAGTTAAATTCTCCGGTTCCGTTCCGATCTGATCGAAATTAATTCTGTCGCGTGGGCAGAAATCAAAGGACACTCTCGCTTTAGCCCTGGGACCTCCGGAGACAGTTTTGATGGTTTTGACCGGCTTTTCACTTGTAGAGTTTGAAGAGGTCACCTTAAAAACGCAGGGAGGGCGGCGCCTCCCAGGCGACCGAGCCCTGCAGGAAGCCGGCTGCGCGGCTGGAGCCCTGTGCTGGGCGCGAACCGCGAAGGCCGCGCGGGGCCTGGAGAGTCGGGGCTGGCTCCGCGCCTGCGGCCTCCAGAGCCCTGGATGCGTCTTGCTCGCGGGTATTTTCTCCCCGCTCTGCTCCATCCAGGTCTGCTCTACCAGAGGCGCTGTCTTGCGGACCCGCAGGAGGTTTTGGAGCTGCAGCCAGGGCCGCTTCAGAGATCCGACTTCCCAGATTGCCTTCAACACTGCATAGCCTTCAGGTTAAGTTCCCCGCAAACATGTGGTTACTCACCGCAAGGCGCTCAGAGGCTGAGTTCAATAGTCAAGTTGGTGGGGACTTTTCCTACTTAAACTAATAATTTGCTAATTCGGATCTATTGCTTTTAAATATCAAGTTCCAGAAACCTCTATCAATGCAGGCTTAATTTCATCCCACTGATGAAGGATGTTTATAAAACGGCGCCTGTGGTGCGAGCCGAGTGTGAAAATATCAGTTTTGTGCCTTTTGATAAGAATTACCGAGGTGGAAGGCTTATTAGGCGATTACAAATTTCACAGCTGCTCACAGCCCAATTAGGCGGCTCTTCGCGGTGAGTGGAGGCTGTGGGAGTCAGCGCGGGTTGGTGTTCTCTTTTTCCAGCCCCCGACCTCCAATCAAGGCCTGGCTCTACAGGACTCGGATTCCTTTCCTACCCTCCTCAAGCTTTAGGGAAACCCATCCAGCGCCCGGCAAGCTGAGAGTCCCAAATTCTTCTGTCGCCACACAGCCCCATACCGGAGGATCTCTAAATCTCTCTGGCTCTTTTCCTTCTGGGCTTGCAAAGCTCCGCGCGGTCTAGAGGCGTTGGCAGT